ACACCCACACAAGGATAATTCAATGGGTACAGTGGAGTGGTCACTTCTGGGTTAAATGCAGCCGCCAGCCAGTTGAGAGAGACAATGCTTTATTGGTGAGTTAACCTGCTTACCGGTTTTTTCACCCAAAACCGGATCTGTCGAAATAAAAACCAGATTTGTTTAAATCGAAACCGGATCTGTAGACATCAAAATCAGATTATTTGATCGGAATTGCACGTGTTACGGGGACGCAAGCACCGAGGCCCGCACGGGCAACTGTAAGGAAGTGGCTTAAACGTCTCAACTATACCTACCAAGTTGTGAGACCAGTCCCCATCAATAGAAATATTCTACCTGTAAAATAAAACTCTACACTGAGTGGTATGTCGGAATTCCTATTGATATTTGCTACAAGAATGTCATTTTTGTTGGTGAAAGCCTACTTTCGCTTCACATGATGAGGAATTGCGGCCGGGCTTTACATGGAGAAACTCCTAAAATTACAATCCAAAACAGTCAAGTACCTAATATAACTATGATCCTCGCTGTCACTACAGTTAACATCATTAGCCGCGAAGCAGTGCTTGGTAGCGTAGATGAAAATGTATTCCACAGTTTTTTGGCAGCCCTTCCAGATATTCTTGACAACGACGAGGAGGAATAAATCATTGTTATGGACAACATTTGTTTCCACCATTCAATTCAAACATTCTACGACACGTTTCCATACGAGATACACTTTTACCAAGGTATTCTCCTTTCCTGAACCCCTGCGAGGAGGTCTTCTCGCAAACTAAATCTAATGTGAGAAAAAATGCTCTAATTCAAGAAAGAGAAGATCTACTTGAAAGAATGAAGAATGCTTCTCAACTTGTCAGTGAAAATAACTTGAAAAGTTATCTTCAACATTTGGAGACATTATTTGGACAATGTTTCACAATCTGATATCCATCAAGACTAATTTGATTAAATAGTATACGCTATGTATTCGAAATATTTAAAAAAAGATTGTTTTATTACTAAGAACGCTAAAAACAGAGGAAATAGTTCTAATATACAATAAGTAATAATCCGGTTTTGATTTGAACAAATCCGGTTTTGGAGGAAAAAACCGGTAATAAGAAAGAAAAAGTCTAGCAGAGAACCTCAAAGAGCGAGTCACATGACCACAAGTAGGGCGCGAAACGTGGTTAATCAGCTGGTTGGATTACCAGACAGGCTGTGGCCCAAGAACGGAGCTCTATCTCAGGCTAGGATAGGCATCAAAAGCAGGGGTGGGAGACGACTCAATGGTCAGCTTATGGCACAACCCACTGAGTGTGACTGGGGTAGCGGCACCGACCACCAGAAAGGACAAGCTTTCGAAATACACGTGATGAGGGGATTGGAGTCAGCCATCTTAATGTTTTTTATCTTCTAGACACTGACTAATATCAACGTTTCAGACGTTTTGGAGTGGACATCGAGTACTAATGCGGATTCACTTTTAAATCTTGTAACTTGCGAACAAACGACAGTCTGACCTGGGAAGAGGGACCCCGCGGGAACAACAACTGCATATTCTCATTCTTGCTGTTACCGACCCTTAATTCCAACCCCGTTTTAGTCCTGACTTTAACCGTGACTCTCCTGACCATAATTCTAACCGAAAAGAAGGGGACGGTTCGCATTCAGTTGCTTGAGACGGAAAGGAAAGTTTAGCAGACAGCCCTTAGACTGCGAGTCAGGTACTGTCGCAAGTGACCGGAGATACTGTAAGTAGGGTGCGGGAAGTGGTCAATAAGCTGCCTAGATTACAAGAGGGGGGCGCGGCCCAAGGATGTAGCCCTCCCAGGCTAAGTGGGCAATCGAAAGCAACGTTGGATAAAAGTCATGCGGGAGAACAAGTAACTATGCGCAATTGCGGTAGACTGCCAAAAACATCATTCCAATGGAGTACCGACTACCATGAAAATCAGTATCTTCCAATTTTCAAAAAACGCCAACTCTCCCAATCCTGGTTCAGGCGTTTGCAGGCGTAAAGGAGAAGACTGGTCGAGCCGCGGAACAGTTTGTTGATTGTTCTGGGTTTTAAAATAACTGAGGCAGAAGTATAACAGCTGCTCGGAGTACCAGAACACAAAAGTGGTTTTGGGTACAAAATATTTAAGTGGTGGGTTATTTAATAGGAAGAAAAAAACCGTAATTCAGAGCAGGCGATCGAGGGAGAGCCACACTGATGTCAGAGATATGAGTATCACCGGTTTTTTGTGTGCGAGAGGGTAATACGGTTTCATTTTGAACGTATCCTTCCAAAGTTTTAGAAAAAAACTTCTTCCATTCACTTCACCGCAAAGATGAGAGAGTTAGTGGATTTGCAGGGAAGAATTCACAATTATTAAGGAGACATTTCGAGCCTCAGTTTATATATTTCGGTCATAGATTGAAATAGAGAACGTTAATATGCCGAAAGGTATGTGCAAAGCACGACAGAGAGACTTCACAGCAATTCGTTCAGGGTAACATCGTTAAGAATTTGATTGACCGGTGCTAAGTGTCGTTGTATTAGTATATTAACTAAAAAAGGTCATGAGGCAAGTAGACAGTCGAGTTCCGTGCGGGGAAAATGAGCCTGAAAGAGTGGGAATGACCGATGCCTATTACAAATATAGGTAGGATAAAAAACCATGGCTAGTGTTTGGCGGCAAAACCTACACTGCGGCAGGGAAAACGCTGGTTACGTGCACTGCTTGCATCATACGCGATAACTACTACTCGCCACCTGATTAGGTCACCGCGAACACCAATGGACGGCCTTGCTAGTATGGTAGACCGAGCCAGGCAATAAGCGTAGTCTCGCCGTGGGGTGGGATGGACGTTGAGGCAACACAAAAGGCGCCGCGGTAGGGCTTTCTTGTAACGCCGCCTAAGAGCAAATTTCCCCCGTCGTACGGAATTCGTGAGTAAGGATCTAATGACTGATTACTGAGCAGGTAATACGTGTTTAACGCGCGGTAAGAGCACAGT